GAGCTGGACAATAAAAAGGGCTGAGCATCAAAGAATTGATGCCTTTGAACTGTGGTGCTGGAGAAGACTCTTGAGAGTCCCTTGGACAGCAAGATCAAACCAGTCAACTCTAAATGCAAAAAATTGATGCCTTTGAATTGTGGTGCTGGAGAAGACTCTTGAGAGTCCCTTAGACAGCAAGATCAAACCAGTCAATCCTAAATGAAATCAACCCTGAATATTCAATGGAAGGACTGATGCTGAAGCTGACTCTCCACTATTTTGGCCACCTGATGTGAAGAGCTGACTCATTGGAAAAGACCCTGATGCTGGGAAAGATTGAAGGCAGGAGGAGAAGGGGATGACAGAGGATGAGATAGTTGGATGGCATCACCGACTCAATGGATATGAGTTTGAGCAAACTCCAGGAGATGGTGAAGGACAGGGAAGCCTGGCATGCTGCAGTTCATGGAGTTGCAAAGAGTCAGACATGACTGGGCAACTGAACAACAGTTGCTTCTAATGTACGTTCAAGGTTAAAAGTCACCGAGGCCTACACTGTGGTGATAAGGTAAGATTTCCAGTTGGATTTATGTCTTGGCTTCGCCACATATCAGCTGGTTGGTCTTAGTTGTTACTCTTCCTTTGAAAGTTTTGTCCCAGATGTAACAAGTGAGATAAACCACTTAAACCAAAAAGAACAGTTACACAAACTATTACTAAGTAAACAGAAGTCTTGATGGCTCTCCCAGGAAAGAGGAAAACTTTTTGAGATTACAGCAGTGGTTCTCAAACTTGCATCAGAATCACCTGGTGTGTGCATGCTAAGTGGCTTCAGCCGTGTCCTGCTCTTTGCAATCTTACGGAGTGTAGCCAGCCAAGCTCCTCTGTCCATGGGGATTCCTTAGGCAAGAATACTGGAGTGGGTTGCTGCGCCCTCCTTCAGGGGATCTTCCCCACCCAGGAACAGAACTCTGGTCTTTTATGTCTTCTACATTGGCAGGAGGGTGCTTTACCACTTAGAGAATCACCTGGAAAGTGAAAGTGAAAGTGAAGTCACTGAGTTGTGTCCAACTCTTTGTGACCCCATGAACTGTAGCCTATCGGGCTCCTCCGTCCATGGGATTTTCTAGGCAAGAGTACTGGAGTGGGTTGCCATTTCCTCCTTCAGAGGATCTTCCCAACCCAGGGATTGAACCAGGGTCTCCCTCATTGTAGGCAGACACTTTACCATCTGAGTCACCAAGGAAGTCACCTGGAGGACTTGTTAAATCAGATTGCTGAACACCTTCTTACCCTAAAGTTTCTGATTCTGTAGGTCTGAGGCAGAGCTCTTGAGTTTGCATTTCTAGTGCATTCTCAGGAGATGCTGATGTTAATGTTTGAGACCATAGTTTGAGAATCACAGCTCTAGAGCAGGGTTTCTCAACAGCGTCACTAATGACATTTTGGAAATAAATTAAAAAAATAAAAAACATTTACTTATTTATATACTTAACGTATTTATTTATGGCTGTGCTGGGTCTTCCTTGGGCTTTCTCTAGTTTTGGCAAGTCAGGGCTACTCTTCTTTGCCCAGGCTTCTCATTGCAGTGGCTTCTCTTGTGGAACTTGGGCTCCAGACACAAGGACTCAGTCAGTAGTTGTGGTGCACAGGTTTGTTACCCCGCCGTCTGTAGAATCTTCCCTGACCTGGTATCAAACCCATGTTTTGGCAGGCAGACTCTTAACCAGTGGACCACCAGGGAAGTCCCAAGCACCTACTTCTTTGAGGATCTCTGGCCTCTACTCACTAGATGTGCAGTGTCCCTCCAGCTGTGATGGTTGAAAATGTCCCCAGACACTGAAAATGTCCCTTGGGTTGCAAAATTGCACAGAGTTGAGAACTACTGCTCTAGAGGATATAAATTAGAGAAGAATCTAAGAGTGTAGGTGAGTTACAGAGGCAAGTGAAGAAAAGAAGTTGAAGCCTAGAAGAAAGGAGGAGTTTGAGACAGCTCAGAGTTGGTGTGGAAAGGCTGGATACCCGTCCAGGGCTATTTTTTTGAAGAAGGATCATTATGGGTCTGCAACATAGAGACAATTGACCAGAGGGCAGAGGGTAGGCTCAGAAGTCAGACCTGGCTTTATCTGGTCCCACCAGAATAGGGGCTGTCTTTTTAAGTCTGGCGCCTTCTGTCCTGGGATGCAGCTAAAATTTCTTGTAAGGCAAAATACTGTCCTAATTCAAATGGCCTGTCCCTTAGGTTTAACTGCCTGCAGCCCCAAAGTGCTCAGGGCTCTCTCTTATCTCACTTTCCTATCCACACACCGTGAGATATTAACAAGCAGCAGATTTTAGGTCTATCAGGAGAAACAAATAACTCTCTAGTTTTGTTGTGAAGAAGCAACTCTGTTAAGAGCCCTAACCTGTCCAAATCCACCTCCCTGACAATTCAACTCACAAAATTTAACGACCCAGTGAAAAAAAAGATTTGGCTCCTTAAGTGCCAATGGTATTAAGTGCCAAAGACTGTGGAAGTCATAAAGGGAAATTAACTGAAAACCAGAGATGCCATTACTCATTTGGGAGCAATCCATCTCTCCTAGAGTGAGAATACAATTTGCACCCTCTAGGGATGTTTTACACTCCAAACTTTATTCCCCAGGCTAGGGCCTATTCCCTACAAATTGTAACTGGTGCTGCTGTTTCCTGTTAATGGCTTCTACCCAGCCTTTGAAGAAGGCTCTTGGAAGGAGTGAAGAGGCTAAAGTTAGAGGAAAGCCCTTGAAGTTGCCAGGGCCTTGCTTCTTCCGAATCACTGCCAACGTCTCAAGGGATTGGTAGGCTTTTAAAAGAGCACTGTCAAGGTTCAAGTCTTGTTTTATTCCAAGCCAAGAAAGATGAAGGTGGGTTGAGGGAACTACTGAGGTATGTAGACTAGGTATCTATAAGGGATTAGGGAGTAACCTGTGATTGTGACAGAGGTGTGAGAAGTAGCTTGCAAACCATCTTTGGCCAAGTCTCGTCTGGCAAAAGGCATAACCATACATATAATTATTGCTTACATATGAAATCTGAGTCACTGTTCCTTTTGACGATCCCTTGTACTTAATAGACATTCCAAGCATTCCTGAAGTAAAGAAACCTGTTTCACTTTATTTACCCAAGTGTTCCTGAACTCATTTGAGCGTGGCATCTTTATGCCCCAATGTTTCTAATATACCTGGGAAACAGTGTTCCGTGGAATACACTTGAGGAAACCTCAACCTGTAAGATCAGTTACATGAAGTACAAGCTCTTCAGGATGTGGCTCCTACTTAATTTTGCAGCTCCCCACTGCTAACCACGCTGAAGTTCTTTTGGTTCATAAAACACACCAATCTTTCAAACTTGTGCCTGCTGTTTCTTAGAATGCACATGTTTCATGCCCACCTGGCAGAGTCCTACTCCTCAGTCTCTAAGTCCTAACCTAAGCACAATCACATAATCTGTGAAACCCCCTTAACTCTCAGAAACAGTAGTTTCTGTTTCCAGTGTACTTTATTCTCTGTATTAGAAGTAATTGGTTTGACAGGTTTATCACCCTGCTCGTTGCTTCATTAATGAGTTAAATCTTGAACATATGCTCATTTAAAATCATCCTCTTTCTTGGACTTGCCTGGTGGTTCAGTGGTTAAGACACTGTGCTTCCACTGGAGGGGGGCTTGAGTTCAACCCCTGGTTGGGAACTAAGATCCCAAAAAACCTCTATCCTCTTTCTAACTTAAGGTAAATAGATGATCCAGTTTGTGAGCTCTAAGTATAAAACCAAACATGTTCAGAACAGGCTGGAGGTGTGAAGACCTCTATATTGAGACAGGAGATTCAGAAAAGAAGACTCCAGTCCCCAGTGCCAGATGGGCTTCATTAGTGCTGGTTTTTGTGTGCTGGGCATAGTCACCCTGCCATCCAGAGACAGCAGTAACCTGCTGTGGGGGTAGAAAGTAACTAAGCCTTAGACAATGTCATGGCTCAGTAGCACCAATTTTTAAAAAAGATTTATTTACTTTTGGCTGCACTGGGTCTTGGTTGCTACATGCAGGCTTTCTCTAGTTGCAGAGAGTGGCGGCTACTCTCTCGTTGTGGTGCACTGGCTTCTCATTGTGGTGGCTTCTCTTATGGAGAATGGGCTCTAAGTGTGTGGGCTTCAGTAGTTGTGGTGCACGGGCTTAGCTACTCCATGGCAAGTGGGATCCTCCCAGACCAGGGATGGAATCAGTATCCCCTGCATTGTAAGACGAATTCTTAACCACTGGATCACCAGGGAGGTCCTCTCATATTCCTTTTGAACTGAGCTGTTCTAGCCAATGCCATCGCTATTGGCTGAGAATGCTGCAAATCTGCCCACTTCAGGAAATCTGAGGGTAGGGACTGCTGATTGCTGCTCAGAAAAGTGCTTTTGGCAGTGGAGACACAGACCATGTTCAGCTTCTTGGAAGTTTAAGTGGGTTGTATGTATCCCCTGGTCACACCATGCTCTCAGATTTACAGCGATCAAGCCTCAGAGAAAAGACAGCAATAAATTCAATCCACATGGCTCCTGTAAAAAGACATCTAGTTGGCTTTTAATACAAAATGAGTCAGAGAAACAAAGAAAGAAAATATCATACAAGTTATTGAACTTAAAAAAAAAAAAACCCCGACAAATACATTTCAGTCACATTCCCTGTCTTCAGCCTGGATTAGGAAACAGGAAATGATGAACCAACCAATGTCTGTCCTTTTGAAGAAACCTTATTTAAAAAAAAAAAAAAGGAGGAAAAAAATCAAACAATCCCTGAAATCTGGCAGGTGGTTTTAAGAGGCCACTGGAAGCTTGCCTTAGTCATCCTGGTAAACTGGGACACTGGTGGTTTGGAACATGGCTACCTCCTCCTCATTTCTTGCTGCTAACAATCTTCATCTGAAGGGAGGATGCTGGCTTGGACATCATTTGATGCCACTCATGCTGTCTGAGGTCTCAGGGTCAAGTAGTCTTGTGGAGTTTTCATTCCATATCTTCACTGAATCTCCCCCATATATAGTCTCTTGTCACTGGATGCTGAGAGAACTGAGGTGAAGAGAACAGAGAAGATAACTGGAAATAATGAAGGCTCAAGGAGACTTGGTGTTTAAGGGCTCTTATGTCAAGAGGCAATTTTGGTATAAAAGAGCAACTGGATTTAGCTTAAATTCCCCTCCTCCTAAATCACCATTCACAGGAAACTATAGCTTGGCTTTTCAATCTGAACTCTTTCAAAACCATGAGGGTGGACAGTGCTATGGGAAATACATTATCCGGGTCTAAATCTTGATTTTCCTTGTCAGTCAAGCCTTAAGAAAAAGACCTCAATCATTCTAGAAGAGAAGAATCAACGTCTATGCCAGTCATTTTATAAATATGCTTCTGCTTTTTATTCTGAGTCCTGGAAAAAGTTGTATTTTCTCAAAAATTCAAGTCCCATTATTTAGCTTAGCTAGCCAATAAAAGGTAAGTTAAGTTCCAGTTTATATCTGAACATTAAGAAACATCATTCTTTTATCCAACTATATCACTGAATCATAGACCTGAAGCAAGTAAACTCCCAGTCAGGACAGACTTACTGATGGGTTCATCGGGGTGGAAAGCCACTTCATTGATGGAGCCGGCATGGCCCGGTAGCTTATACAAAATCCTCCTGCTTGTGGTATCCCAGACGTAGACAAACCTGCAAATATCACGAAGAGCAAGGCTAAGGCATCCTGGAACTGAGGGTAAGGAAGAAGTATGGTTTTTAAGGGAAGTGGAAGCAACCTTTTATTTAGTCACTCTATACTTATTGAACTGTGCTCTGATGTTTAGAAACTAGGAATATAGATTACAAATAAGGCATGGATCCTGCCCATGAGCAACTGAGTGGAGAAACAGGAATAGCTAAATTATCAGCATTTTCCAACACAAGCTTCTAAAGTAGGAAAGATCACAGAGAAGACAGACAAATGGTTCTTCCTACAGCTCCCACACAGAAATCTTTAAAGGGCCCCCAGGGACTTCCCTGGTGGTCCAGTGGTTAAGAATCCACCGTCCAATGCTGGGACCATGGGCTCAATTCCTGGTCAGGCAACTAAGATCCCATATGCTGCTGCTACTGAGCCTGCATGCCACCACTAGAAAGCCCACATGCCACAATGAAAGATCCTGAGGGCCGCAACTAAGACCCAATGCAGCCATAAATAAATAAATAAATAAATAAATAAATAAATAAATAAATATTTTAAATAAAAAAGAGCACCAAATATAATTAGGGTGTAGTTAACTTCATATGTACCTAGGAATGTTCTAAAAGTAATCTAACTCAAATCCATGGCTAATTCATTTCAATGTATGACAAAAACCACTACAATGATGTAAAGTAATTAGCCTCCAACTAATAAAAATAAATGAAAATAAATAAATAAATAAATAAAAGTAATCTAACTCGTGGCAGGTTGGGAGACCAGGTTGTAGATTGACCTGAACTTCTTAGTATTGTATTCAAATCACAAAATCCAGAGAAGGGACGGGAAATTTCCGCATTATATAAACAAAACCCAAATATACACTCGATCCAGATCTTACACTGAACTCATGGGCAGAAAGAATACTGAATTCTAGCAGGGGAAAGGATATTAGCTAGTCTAAACTTATTCTACAGAAAAGAAAACTAAGGTATAGTGACTTCTCCAAGGTTACACAGTTCATTAGTGGCTCAGTGGCAGAATTAAAATTAACATTCTTAATATATATTCCAGTACTCTCCTTTCTCTTACCATCTTCAAATGCCTTGTGTCCCTTGCCACCTCTCACTCCCTTTACCCCTGCCAAAAGAAGTTTCATTGACCTTCAGCCTTGCTTGGGTCATTTTAAGCTGAAGGTAAAATAAATAGATATTATCTTCACATGACCATGCAAAGAAAATCTGCTGGTAAATTTAAAAAGCTGATGATTTTCAAACAGGTTATACCAATTATTCACATATTTGTTTTGTTCAATCAACACCTAAAAGGGTACACTCATCAGTACATGACTATAAAATGCCTAGTTCTGAACACTACATTTTTAGTTTAAAATGAAGAAAAAAGAAAAGAACTTCTTAATTATAGTGTAGCTCACAAGGTTTAGGTTCCATAGGAGCTAAATAAAAACTCCATGCAAGGTGGAAGAGAGGGGACCCCGTCTGTCTACAGACTCCTTGGCTCTAATGCTCAGGTTTCCCCCACTGTCTTTCTTGCCACACACATTAACTGTCCTCATTAATCCAGCTAAGGTGATGTGGCATAGTGAAAAAGTGTGTTAAGTTCTGGGTTCAAGTCTCAATTCAACTATTTAATAGCTACATAGCCTTTAGACATTTATTTAACTTCTCTGAGGGTCTCTTTTCTTAGACAAATGATGGAATAATGATGGCGACAATGTTGATCTCACAGTTTGGTTGAGAGAAATAATGAAATAATGTATGCAAAGTGCCCAGCACACAGAATTAATGATAGCTAATGTTATGATGAATAAATAGTTATCAAAACAGAATCACATGAAATCAACACACTGAATAAATCACTCACAGCAAAGACTGACCAGTCATTTCATAATCCTTGACAGGAACTCTTCAAAGGTTTCAAATCTGAACAGGAGGAGCTAGGTGAATTGCAAGTAGGGAGGGGAAATTTGCCAAATTCAGGCCAAGCTGAAAAGCAGTTTTCTGAGAAGGATACATTATCCAGGCACATAAAAGCCAGCAGAAGCCCAGATCTCCAAGGGTTTACTTTAAGGCCTCACTTTCCATGGCTGCCAATTAGATACTAAATTTAGAGGGGCCTTATCCTCTCCTTATTCTGGGATGGCAACATTCGGCAGGAATCAGGCTCCTTATGTAACAGAGTGCTTGTTGACTGGAGGCTAATTGGTGAGGTGGCCTGTGAAATGTGGCCAACCCTCAGCAGGTAGACAGACAGGCTTTTCCCTAGACCAGAGCCATGCTTCCACATGCAAGGTTTAAAGAACAGTGGGGAGGGAAAGAGAGAAGAGAGGACACTGAAAGCTAGAAAGAGCCAGTGTCAGAAACAAACTGCTTAGAACAGCTAGGTAGATATCATTTAAAAGCTTAATCATATAGGAAAGATATATCTCTGCTGAAAATCATGTACAAATACTTAGAATGGTTCTTACTCTGTCAGAATGTAAGACAGCTGAGCCATGGGCCTGTTTTTCAAGGTCTTCTTTAGAAACCTGGCAACTGAAAATCCTTTAGATTCCCTCTTCAAGGTCACCCACTAAACCACCAGGACTCAAACCAGCACAGTTTTACTTGGGTCCTTTCTCCTGCCATAAAATACTCAAATATTTACCCATTTTCCCCCGGCATTAAACACACCAGGAAAAAAAAGTGGATTCTGGAATCTCCGGGTATATTTAGAATTGTTCACAAGTCAGGTGTGGAACAGATCAAAGTGAGGCTTCTTTAGGGTTGTGCCAGAGCCCCAAGTGGGAGAAAACTCTGGAATATGCTGAAAGCCCAAGCTAGCCTGGGAAAGGCTTACTGCTTATAGGATGATGCCTGTTTTCGTTGAGTAGCAGGAAAATCTCTAAGTTGGGAGAAAGATGGGGTTAAGCAGAAGAGGGCTAACAATGTTTTCCAATGGGAGCTAAACCCGGAGTCTGCCATCTGAGGGCCTCATCATTTTTTTTTTAAATAAAATAGTCATTCTTATTTATTTGGCTGAGCCAGGTTTTAGTTGTGACACGAGGGATCTTTAGTTGTGGCATGTAGGGTCCAGTTCCCCGACCAGGGATTGAACTCTGGGCTTCTGCATTGGGAGTGGAGTCTTAGCCACTGGGCCTCCAGGTTAAGTCCCCAGGGCTTCGTCATTATTTACCATCCATCCCACACTGTGGCCCAAAAGCCTGGGCACTTGAACATTCCTATTCAACATCTGACTCCCTCCCAAATAAGGTCACCGGAGGCATACCAAATGAAGAATTCTCTACCTTCTCTGTTTCTCATTTATCATTTAATTCCTCAGGCAGTTTAAATTGATTCAGCTTGCTGCAGAGTCACTTCAGTCGTGTCCGACTCTGTGCAATCCCATAGACGGCAGCCCACCAGGCTCCCCCGTCCCTGGGATTCTCCAGGCAAGGACACTGGAGTGGGTTGCCATTTCCTTCTCCAATGTGTGAAAGTGAAAAGTGAAAGTGAAGTCACTCAGTCGTTGGAAAATATCTAGCCCACATTCCGCCCTCACCAAGCAATCCTGACACTTTTTCCACTGAACTCAGACCCAGCTCTGAATCATCCCCAACATAGTTGGCTATTACCAAGAGCTGAGCTGATATGCAGGGCAAAATCTGACCATCCTTGAGCTAGAAGTCATTCATGCAATATTGCTTAGAATAGGTCAAGCACTGCCCTGGATTCAGAGATGAGTAAGATTCATCTCCTGATCTCTAGGAGCAAATAATTTAGTAGGAGTTGCCCCACTATGTTTGTCTTACTGTAAGATGCAATAACTGCTAATAAAGGTTAGGTGTATATAATGTTACTACAACCCAGAAAAAGAGCAATTTAGCAATGCCCAACAGGTAAGGGAGAGAGAGGGCCAGGTAAGTTTATAGATACAATATAGGTAGATTACTAGGGAGATATAGGAGTTTGGATAATGGAGGAGGCAGAAGGGATGTAAGAACAGGAGAAGTTCCATGTGAGTGAAGCACTGTGGTGATTGATGGTGGGGGAGGAGTAAGTAAAAACACAACATGTATGTGAATGAACTGACGCATGGCAGAAGAATCTCATGAAGGGAACTGGAGCCAGATTAGGAGTTTGAATTTTATTTCACTGGCAAAGGCAATCTAACAACCAAAAACACCTGTTTATCTTTCATGTTTAAAACGTATCCAAAGAGGGTAGAAATGATGTATTTGTCCACATGATCTCTAAACCCTTCAGAATGCACTACATACAGCTTCATCTCTGAGTGCAGCTATAACTCGACGTCTGCTCTGGCTCAGTTCTGGCACTTAATGTATTAAACATGAGAAGACACCTGCAGCTACATCATTCTTTACCTCACGTCCAGTAATCCTTACCTGTCAGCCGAGCCAGCTGCTATCTTGCTTCCATCAGGTGACCAAGAACATCTCAGAAGATTCTGTAATGATGAATAGGCAGGAATCCAATGAATACATTAATGTACCAAATGTATGTACCCCTCTTTATTAGACTATAGCATCACTAAGAGATTTTAAATTCTTAAGTACAGTTTTTTGTTTTCTGTTTTTTGGGGACTGTGCTGCATGGCCTGCAGGATATTAGTTTCTTGACCAGGGAATGAACCTGTGCTCCCCTCAGTGGAAGTGCAGAGTCGTAACCACCGGACTGCTAGAGCATTCCCCCTCTTGAGCAGAGTATTCTCTGCAACATATAATCAACAATTGTCTTATACCCTGTGGCCCAAGACAGCCTATTTTAATATATTTCAAACCATATAAAAACCAACTGAGAAACTGCTTAATTTACAGTAAATTAACAGTGGACCTGGCTATAAAATTTTGTTATGCCTACAAATGGGGGCTTTTTTTGCTCATTTACCTGGATCCTCATTAAATTTTTTGCTTATCTTGAAGGAAAATAAAAATAAAATCAATAATAACAAAAGGTAAAATTTGATTTATCTTTAAATAAAATTCTTTGATTTTTAAATCAAATAAAAGATTCAGTGAAACTGAACCTTAATGGGTTCTCAAAAGGAAAACATTAGTCTATATTAACAAACTGTCTGGAGGAAAAGCTATTTTGAAGAGCTCATCTGAAAGTTTAGGAAAATTTTCAGTCTCTCAGAGCTTGGCCTGTGGTTCTTATTGAGGGAAGGAACGTATCTCAGGACTCTAATACCTGGTCACTGGGAGGGTGAGGGAGGTCATCTGGGTAGCAGCCATGGGAGTCTGAGTTCCATATGGAACAATGACCTGTGAGAGTCAAAATTCCCCAAAAATTAAGAAGACAGAAGCATCCTGTTGAAGTGGGAAGTCCTAAATTTGAGGACTCCATCACTATCTGCCTATGTGATTGCCTTCTTGCCTATGTTGCTGTCAGTTTAATTTCTGGCAAGAGCAGTTTTGATGGACAAGAGTGTTACTGGAATTCTGCTCTTTCTCAGTAGAGTTATTGCTCTCTATAGCCTTAGCATCATCTTAAATGTTTCTTTCAGTCAAATGGACAGTAAAATTCCTCTGCTATGCAGCACTCACCTTTTCAAAGTTGTGTACATTTCCTTGAAATATCTTCACACATCGCTCTTTGGGTGCAAATGGCCGGACATCCCAGACCCGCACTGCAAATTCAAACAAACGAAACAAAACAGTTATCAGACAGCGGGATACCTGAGAACCCAGATACCTGAGATATCTGAGTTCTCAGATACCTGAGAACCCAGCTGAAATCAGGATCATGTCAATGACAGATGCTATTTCCTGGGTGGAGAAAGACCAACATGGTACAATGCTACTTGATAAGCCTTTTTTCTTTTTCTAATGGGAATGAAATGCATCCAAGTTCCATTAACAGGGACTAAAGACACAGAGGAAAACTGAGAAGGCAGGAAAGGAAAATGTCAAACACACTGCTGGGGATTTGCAACAGAAAGTAGTTGAGTGTGATACTGATTTCAACAAAACATTTTGCAGATGATTCCTCTGCCAATCCTGAGTCACATCTAACAAAATTTCAACATGACAATCTAAATACCACTGACTACTGTGATAATCAATCTATAAAAGTCAAACTCAGGACTAAACTTTTCCAATTACGCTCACAGGAAAATCTGACAGTTTAATTGTAAACAAGGCCAATATAGAAAAAGTGAACTTTGAATCCAATTCTAACTCTGCTATATATATGTGGGAAAATATCAGGAAGATAGTGAGATTCTCTGTGCTTTGGGTACCTTTGTAAAATGAGAATGCCACTTGCTCTTTTTTTAAAAAATAAGAATATTTTAAAGGTCAAATAAGATGATACATGAAAGGGCTTTAAGACTGGCAGAGATAAATAATAAACAAAAAGAATTGGTAATTTTTATTATATAGCTATAATGAGAAATTCTTGTTTTTATTTTAATAACCATTTAGGGCATCTCACCTTTCCTTATAGTGACTTCCCTGGTGGCCCAGATGGTAAAGCATCTGCCTACAAGGCAGGAGACCCAGGTTTGATCCCTGGGTCAGAAAGATCCCTTGGAGAAGGAAAAAGCAACCCACTCTAGTATTCTTGCCTGGAAAATCCCATGGACAGAGGAGCCTGGTAGGCTACAGTCCATGGGGTCACAAAGAGTCAGACACGACTGAGTGACTTCACTTTATTTCTTTCTTTCCCTTTCCTTATAACAAACAATGCTAGAATTAGACAATTGAAAATCTAATGAAGTAGGATATAAATACCCACAGTAAGCAGTGGCCGCAGCCGCTGTTAACTAAAGCTAAATGCACAGTGAAATTTGAGTGATGTCATTTTACTTGAGTATGGGAAAAAAGCCAACAATCCTTGAAGTCAAACAGGCATAAAAAGGCAAAACTACACATGAAAGTTTGCTATTGAGATGAGAATACAGCCAGAAGGCAAGGAAGTTCATTCATTCAGCAAATATTTATTGAGCAACCCTTGAGTGCTAGGCTTCCGTGATAGTTCAGTTGGAAAAGAATCTGCCTACAAAGCAGGGGATCCTGGTTTGATTCCTGGGTTGGGAAGATCCCCTGGAGAAGGGATAGGCTACCCACTCCAGTATTCTTGGGCTTCCCTTGTGGCTCAGCTGGTAAAGAATCAGCCTGCAGTGTAGGAGACCTGGGTTCACTCCCGGGTTGGGAAGATTCCATGGAGAAAGGAAAGGTTACCTACTCCAGCTTTCTGGACTAGAGAATTCCATGGACTGTACAGTCCATGGGGTTGCAGAGTTGGACATGACTGAGCGACTTCCACTTCACTTTGGGTGTTAGGCAGTTTTCATTACAAAATGTTAGTGAAAATATTTTAGTATACCAGAGGGGCATTTCCAAAAAATATTAAGCATATAATCCAAGATGTCATTTTCCTTTTCTGCTATGGAAAACACATCCTCCCACCCAACAACTCAAAAACAAGTGAAGAAAGGACAAGTGTGTTAGTGTAAATCCAGATTATTGAGGTGTTTTAATGAGGACTTCTCGTCACATTAATGCTTTTGGAGTAGGGAGGGAAGACGGACTGGCAGAAAAAGTACAACTGAGATATCAATAGGTTTTTGATCATCTGAGCTTGGTACTCTCTGAAAATGCTGGAGAACTGCCTTGGATGGATCTTCAGACTCTCATCTTTCTCAATAAACTAATCTCTGTGAGTTTTTTGTGCAATGCTTGAATCCACAGCCTTGGATTCATAGCATACCAGAACTGAAATGGGCTTGAAAAGTAAAATCTAATTCTCTTACATCATCAGTATAGAAACTGATGCCCAGAAAGAACAAATGCTATGTGTAAGGATGCTCAGGGATTAGATGGAAGATTTGGGACTTTCATCCTGGCTTCCTGGTCATTTCTTCTAAAGCATTTTCTATTACAACTTGTTTTCCTAATTGCCCTGGTGGACACCTGCAAGCCATCCTGGGCTCTTTCCTTGGACTCTCTTTTACCCCAGCACATATTCCCAACACCTAATGCCCATTTTATTTAGGGTCTACAGTGACTGACGTGGAGAGTTTTCCTTTCCAAAGTTACCTGTATTGTCCATTGCATTAGACAAGAGGTAAGAGCCTTCAGAACTTAAACTCAGGCCAGTCACTGAATCTGCATGACCTCTCATCGTGTAGGTCAGCTTATTTTGGCGCAGGTCCCAGACCTACAATACAAAACAATGTGACACTCCCAGAAATCAAACAGTGAACAGCAAAGAAACGGAGTTATTAAAGAGCCAACTGCCTGGGAAAATTGGTATCCCTTCTTAATTTGCCTCGAGGCCAAGCACTACTTTACCACAAAATACAGAATTTCTATCAAAGAAGGAAAAACTCTTGTCTTTAAAAACAGAGTTAAAGTTATTAAGTTTGGCTAGAAAAATATAAACTAATGACTGTCAAATATTAAGTTTAACAAAATGTAAGAGGGTTTAAAGAAGTTATTTTCAATTCATAACAAAATGTACTAGGAATTAAAAAAAACAAAGTAGCTTTTAAAACATAATCTATGATTCTTTGCAATTAGAAATAAACTATTTCAAACAACTATATAAAAACAGTTAAATGACTTCATTTAAAAAAGGCATTTTGATTGCATGTAAAACATACATAACAGTAATATGCAAAAACAGAGGTTTAAAAATGTTCATTTAATGTCATAATACATATATACACACATACATACAATGGAAAAGCATATTTATTAAAAGAAAAATAAATTGTAAGTTCATGGTTTTCTGGTTAGGAAAGGTAAGAGAAATAGTTCAGCTGAAAATAACGTAATGTCAAACAGAAAAAAAAATAGTTTATTAAGTTATGGCTCATAAACACACTGGAACACTAAGAGCTCTCATGCTAGAGTTTGAAGAGCAGAGTGGAGTGAGTGAGGATTTAGGGCCAGACTGAACCAGTCACTGCAACTTAGAGACTTATGTATTATATTATTGGGCCACTAACCCTTCTGAGCCTGTTTCTGGTCTGTAAGATAGGGATAACATTTACTTCTTATGGCTTTTGTGAGGATTACAGATAGAATGCCTGGTACACAGCAGGCCCTCTAATTGGTTGCTATTATTAAGCAAATCCTAAAACACTCTGAAGATTGAACGTTTATAAATAAATGTTTATAAATAAACTATTATTAAGCAAATAAGGAAAATATAAAACAGTTATTTATAATTACATAAAAGAAATACATTAAAGGCAATAGAAATGGTCTGGAACGTCATATGGAAAAAGAACAGCAATTCTGTTAAGGTCACTGTTATTATACAAAATTTCATCTAAATTTGATTTAATATTGCCACATAGTTTTTCTAACTTAAACAAATATTTCCCTGTCCCTTTAAGCAAGGCACTTTCCTCATCTAGAAATGAGTTTGTCAAAGCAATACAGACGGCAGACAACTCCACTTTCCCCATCAATAACTCATTCATGTGTGGAACCCAACACACTTTATACACAATCATTTTTGTGTCAGGATGTTTGCTGCCTCAATAATCAGGAAAGCTTGAAGTGGTTGACGTTTTTTGTTCAAGCCATTGTTCCTCTCTTCAGAGAAGGCATTGTTGGAACCTTTAGCTCTTTAGGAGAATGAAATTCATCATCCTTCACAGCACTTGGGAGCTATTTCCAGACTTTCCACTCTGGGGCCTGCACACGTTGTTTTGTATACCCAAAATGTATCTGGGATTTGCCAGAGGAAGAGTGAGTAGGGCAGTAATTTAAGCAAAATATTTTGCAGATGTCCTAATCAGCTGTTCAGTAATTGTGGCAGGCACTTTAGGAGATAAAACAAATGTTGTTCCTGTTCTCAAGGAGCTAAACAAGTGATGAGAGGCCTGCGCAAGGGGCAATAGCCAAGAGGGCAGAGGGATTAATGTTGCCATGGTACATGGATGGAAGTGAGAAACGGAAGGTTTCATAAAGAATAAAGCACTTGAGCAGGGAATGGAAAAAGAATTTACTGATTTATTGCCAAGCCACGCAGTTTGTGGAATCTTAGTTCCCCGATCAGGGACTGAACCCAGGTCCTTGGCAGTGAGAGCATAGAATCCTTACCAGTGGACTGCCAGGGAATTCCCAAGAAGTACTTCTTTATTTAGACAAAGTAGAAGGTTATTCCCAGGCAAAGATGATGCATGAAAGCAAAGGAACATGAAAAAATTGCTGGGTTGTGGGGAAACGGGCAGAGAGGAAGCAGACAATGCCTGAGTTGATGGGCAGGCAAAGGGCAACTCACGAAAGGTTTTGAACGACTGGCTTGGATTTTACCTCACTGGGGAGCCACAGAAGGGTAGAGTAGTGGAATGAGTTGGTCAGATTCTAGAAAGAGCCTTCTGGCCCAAATAATTGGTAAGGATGAGAACAGAGATGGGACTACATTAAAACAATAAAATAAAAGAAATCACCAGATGACCTCCCATTCTGACTAGAGCTCAAGATTACAAGAAATGCCAACCAGATCTTCAAGCCACCAAGTAGAAGCATATGTTTTTCTTTTATTCATTTTCCTCTGACTCCACAATCCTATACCCAGGAAGAAAATCTCAAGAGCCCAACAGGAGCTGTGTATTTGTTCACAACTATAATCAGAATTTGCTCACTCCAGATTTTAAGAGGGGCTTCCATTCCCTATTTGTTCCTCCTTTCCCAGAATAGGCAGTGCTCTCTGAGAGACTGAGAAGCAAACAGAAGCCAGGCTCTTCGGGAGTACTTCCTAACACAGCAAGGCAGTGCAGATATCTATCAAGCAAGCTCAAGATGGTAAGCCCCTGACTGCTTAAAGGATACTTGTTAATTGAGTAGAAGCAATATGATAGAGCTGTAAGACTACTGGCCCTCTGGAGAGTCCTGGCTCTACCACAGACTATTTGATCTTGGTCAAATCATTTAACCTTTTAGGGTTTTGCTTTAGTCATCTGTACAATAAGAGAGATAATGAGATGTCTAAAGTCCCTTTCAGGTTTGACATTTTCTGAGTCTATTTCTGATGGAAAAGGAGCCTCCCTTTTGCATTTTTAAAAGAAACTTATGAGGGCCTGAGTACTATTAAGAGTCTTTCTGGGTCCAAGAACAGTTATTCATCCCTAAGCATATCAGAACAGGATGCTGTTAAATAGGGAGAAGACTGAAATTCTATGGATGGTTTCACATTTCTCTAGCATATCCCTTAGTTTTACAGGAGCAAAATAAAATAACTAAAGCAACCTAATTTCAAATACCATCTTTATTAACTGCTACCATCAAAAAACAATCTGGCAACTGTATCCAAAACATGAAATATCCTTGTATTTGTTAACACAATGATTTTCATCTAGAAATCTATTCTAAGGAAGTAATTAAATATGGAAGCTTCATAAGCAGATATATTGGATACATTGTATACAGCAGCATAATTTGTGATAGTGACACATGAAACAGCCTAAATGTCTAGCATAAGATTGCCACTTACTGTGCTGGGAAAACTGGCCAACCACTTGTAAAGGAATGAAACTAGAACACTTTCTAACACCATACACAAAAATAAACTCAAAATGGATTAAAGATTTAAACATAAGACCAGAAACTATAAAACTCCTAGAGGAAAACATAGGCAAAACACTCTCTGACATAAATCACAGCAGTATCCTCTATGACCCAACTCCCAGAGTAATGTAAATAAAAGCAAAAATAAACAAATAGGACCTAATTAAACTTAAAAGCTTTTGCACAATGAAGGAAACTATAAGCAAGGTGAAAAGACAGACTTCAGAATGGGAAAAAATAATAGCAAACGAAGCAACAGACAAAGGATTAAACTCAAAAATATTCAAGCAACTCCTGCAGCTCAATACCAGAAAAATAAATGACCCAATCAAAAAATGGGCCAAAGAACTAAACAGACTTTTCTCCAAAGAAGATATACAGATGGCTAGCAAACACATGAAAAGATGCTCAACATCACTCATTATCAGAGAAATGCAAATCAAAACCACAATGAGGTATCATCTCACGCAGATCAGAATGGCTGATATCCAAGTCTACAAATAATAAATGCTGGAGAGGGTGTGGAGAAAAGGGAACCCTCTTACACTGTTGGTGGGAATGCAAACTAGTATAAGCCACTATGGAGAACAGTGTGGAGATTCCTTAAAAAACTGGAAATAGAACTGCCATATGACCCAGCAATTCCATTGCTGGGCATACATACCAAGGAAACCAGAATTAAAAGAGACACATGTACCCCAATGTTCATCGCAGCACTGTTTATAATAGCCAGGACATGGAAGCAACCTAGATGTCCATCAGCAGAAGAATGGAAAAGAAAGCTGTGGTACATATACACAATGGAATATTACTCAGCCATTAAAAAGAATACATGTGAATCAGTTCTAATGCGGTGGATGAAACTGGAGCCTATCATACAGAGTGAAGTCAGAAAGAAAAACACCAATACAGTATACTAAAGCATATATATGGAATTTAGAAAGATGGTAACGATAACCCTATATGTGAGACAGCAAAAGAGACACAAATGTATAGAATAGTCTTTCGGACTCTGTGGGAGGTGAGGGTGGGATGATTTGAGAGAACAGCATTGAAACATGTATATTATCATATGTGAAACACATTGCCAGTCCAGGTTCAATGCATGAGACGGGGTGCTCAGGGCTGGTGCACTGGGATGACCCTGAGGGATGGGATGGGGAGGGAGGTGCAAGGTGGGGTTCAGGATGGGGACACATGTACACCCATGGCTGATTCATGTCAATGTATGGCACAAACCACTATAATAATGTAAAGTAATTAGCCTCCTATTAAATAAATTAAAAAAAAGATTTCCACTTACTAAACTATAGAATATTTTAATAATAAATAAAAGTAAAATAATAATGATGGAACCCAACATGTACTGAACACTAACTATTTAACTGCTATGGTGTTTGGAATATCAGAGATATATACATATATCAAGTCATTACGCTGTACATCTAAAACAATGTTATATGTCAATTATATTTCAATAAAACTAGAGAAAAAAAGAAACAGAAAAATGATCCAAATTACGACGCTAAGAAGAAAATAAGAGTAATATGATGGATAGCAATGAGGAGCACCTACTTTCATCTCAGAAATCCTCTCTGAAGATATGTCTGAGCTGGGTTTCCCTGTTGATTCAGT